CCTATTGATCCCTATTGGTCCCTATAGACCCCTATTGACTCCTATTGATCCCTATTGGTCCCTATAGACCCCTATTGACTCCTATTGATCCCTATTGGTCCCTATTGATCCCTATTGACTCCTATTGATCTCTATCGGTCCCTATCGATCCCAATTGATCCCTATCGATCCCTATCGGTCCCTATTGATCCCTATCGATCCCTATTGGCCCCTATTGATCCCTATCGGTCCCTATTGATCCCTATTGATCCCTATTGATCAGTATTGGTTCCCATGGCTCTGTATCGATCCCAATCGATCAGTATTGATCGTTATTGATCCCCAGACTCACGTGACGACGGCGTTGGGGTTCTTCTCGATGGCAACACCCGCACCTTGGGGCCCTATTGATCACTATTGATCCCTATTGATCCCTATTGATCCCTATTGATCACTATTGATCCCTATCGGTCCCTATTGATCCCTATTGATCACTATTGATCCCTATCGGTCCCTATTGACTCCTATTGATCCCTATTGGTCCCTATAGACCCCTATTGACTCCTATTGATCCCTATTGGTCCCTATTGATCCCTATTGACTCCTATTGATCTCTATCGGTCCCTATCGATCCCAATTGATCCCTATCGATCCCTATCGGTCCCTATTGATTCCTATCGATCCCTATTGACTCCTATTGATCCCTATTGGTCTCTATTGATCCCTATTGATTCCTATTGATCCGTATTGATCCCAATTGATTCCTATTGATTCCAATCGATCCCTATTGGTCCCTATTGGTCCCAATTGATCCCTATTGATTCCTATTGATCCGTATTGATCCCAATTGATTCCTATTGATTCCAATCGATCTCTATTGGTCCCTATTGGTCCCAATTGATCCCTATTGATCCCTATCAATCCCTATGGGTCCCTATTGATTCCTATTGATCCCTATTAATCCCTATTGATCCCTATTGATTCCCATGGCTCTGTATCGATCCCAATCGATCCCAATCGATCAGTATTGATGGTTATTGATCCCCAGACTCACGTGACGACGGCGTTGGGGTTCTTCTCGATGGCAACACCCGCACCTTGGGGCCCTATTGATCACTATTGATCCCTATTGACTCCTATTGGTCAGTATTGATCCCTATTGATCGTTATTGATCCCTATTGGTCCCTATTGACTCCTATTGATCACTATTGATCCCTATTGATCCCCATTGATCCCTATTGATCTCTATTGGTCCCTATTGATCCCTTTTGATCCCTATTGGTCCCTATTGATCCCTAAAGATCCCTATTGATCCCTATTGATCCCTATCAATCACTATTGATCCCTATTGGTTCCTATTGAGCACTATTGGTCCCTATTGATCCCAATTGTTCCCTATTGATCCCTATCGATCCCTATCGGTCCCTATTGATCCCTATTGATCACTATTGACTCCTATTGATCCCTATTGGTTCCCATGGCTCTGTATCGATCCCAATCGATCAGTATTGATGGTTATTGATCCCCAGACTCACGTGACGACGGCGTTGGGGTTCTTCTCGATGGCAACACCCGCACCTTGGGGCCCTATTGATCACTATTGATCCCTATTGATCCCTATTGATCCCTATTGATCACTATTGATCCCTATCGGTCCCTATTGACTCCTATTGATCCCTATTGGTCCCTATAGACCCCTATTGACTCCTATTGATCCCTATTGGTCCCTATTGATCCCTATTGACTCCTATTGATCTCTATCGGTCCCTATCGATCCCAATTGATCCCTATCGGTCCCTATTGATTCCTATCGATCCCTATTGACTCCTATTGATCCCTATTGGTCTCTATTGATCCCTATTGATTCCTATTGATCCGTATTGATCCCAATTGATTCCTATTGATTCCAATCGATCCCTATTGGTCCCTATTGGTCCCAATTGATCCCTATTGATCCGTATTGATCCCAATTGATTCCTATTGATTCCAATCGATCTCTATTGGTCCCTATTGGTCCCAATTGATCCCTATTGATCCCTATTGATCCCTATCAATCCCTATGGGTCCCTATTGATCCCTATTGGTCCCTATTGATCCCTATTGATCAGTATTGGTTCCCATGGCTCTGTATCGATCCCAATCGGTCCCAATCGGTCCCAATCGATGGTTATTGATCCCCAGACTCACGTGACCACAGCATTGGGGTTCTTCTTGATGGCAACACCCGCACCTTGGGGCCCTATTGATCACTATTGATCACTGTTGATCCCTATCGATCCCTATGGCTCTGTATCGATCCCAATCGATCAGTATTGATGGTTATTGATCCCCAGACTCACGTGACCACAGCGTTGGGGTTCTTCTCGATGGCGTAGACCCGCACCTTGGTCCCCGCCTGCCGCGCCGCCCGCAGCGTCGCCGCCACCAAGGGGCCCCGGCCCGCCCCCAGCACCATCACCACCCTGAGGGGGGGGGGAAAGGGGGGTCAGACCCCTCCCCAAATCGGGGGGAGACACCCCAAAAAATTACAGGGAGGGGGGACCCCAAAAAACCCCGATTTGGGGGGGAAAA